TACTCCCTAAAAATTACACTCCTAAATTGCTCCTTAGAAGCAAGGATGGGGGGTTTAAGTGGAGAGAAAATGTTTTGAGAATGATGTACAAATGCGCTTTACACAATTGATATGTGTATGGATTGTAATTAGAGTTGTATGTGCCCCTAATAAAATGATTTATATATAAAAAAGAAGAAGCAAGGATGGTGAGACGTCATCTCATCCACTTTGGACATGCTATCAGGAGAGACTAGTCCTTGGAAAAGGACATCCCAACTTGTTAAAGTGGAGGGGCAGCTAAAAAAAACAAAGGACAATTCGGATTGACACAGAGGCTGTCACAATGGGCACAAACAGAACATCGTGAGGGGGCGCAGAACCAGGAGTGTTTTGTTCTATCGCACAGAGGTTGCAATGAGGCAGGATGCACTTGATGGCACCTAATAAGAGCAGTTACAATTAAACACTTACGTGCATCAAAAGACTTCTCCAGGAGAGTACATGAGAACTGACACTGGGAAAATATTTTTGTTAATGAAATATCTAGCATGGACAAATCGGTCTGATTTAAATATCAGCAAGCAGCATACACAGACACTTGACTAAGTTAGACGTTTAGGCAGACAGCAAACTCTCATATGCTCATAGGCATAGATAGAAGCAAATCAAATAACATCTTATCCCAATAACCAACAGCAAGGATACAAACAAAAGTACCCCAAACAATAAATGCTGATGAGGGCGAGACTGGATCTCACACACAGCTGGTGGGATGGTAAAATGGTGCAACTGTAGAAAATGGTAGGGCACATCCTTACAAAGGGAGATCTAGGAAGCCCATGATCCAGCAATCCACTCCTATGTATATGTCCTAGAGAAATATCTGTGATACAAATAGATACATACACACACCCATCTTTATCACAGCAGTACTCACAATAACAAAACGACAGAAACCACCCAAATGTCCATCAGCAAATGAGTGCTTAAACACACTGTGAGACAGACACACAGTGGAACAGTGTGCAACGTTGGAGAATAGCAATGAATCCATGGAACGTCTCTTGCAACACTGAGGACATTATGTGGAATAAAATAAATTACATAATTGCAAAAGGACAATGTATGAGACCACTATGGCAAAAAGTCAAGGAAAGGTTTGAAGAAACATTCTTTGGCTACTAGGGATCATGGGCATTGGGGGTGGGAAATCACCCCTTCGTTATTTCTCCTGCCCCAGAGCACTCAACTTTTACTTACTCTGTGGGTTAGGAAGTCCACTGCTCTGTGTGATGCTCTGGCTCCTGCCTCTGCCCCTGCTGCTCCTCTGCCATTCCTCTGGTGTTAGGGCTGTTTCCTGGTTCACAGAGGTTCAATGTACAGGGACCTTGGGGTCCAAAGGATGTGTTCTACTCCTGGGTCTTTTCTCTTGCTGATAGAGAGATCCCTTCTTCCTGCTTCTGAGATGGCTCACTTCTACCCAGCAGGATGGCAATTACAATGAACTTTGTTAAACATTGCTCACAGATGAATCCTATCATCCAATTAGTATCTTCCCCACTTTCGGGAAAACAAAGGTTGTTCGGTGGGAGTAACAAACACTCCAGCTTGAAAAGCTATATTAAACACTTTAAAGTGTTAAAAAGATAAGGTGTGTCTGGCCCGAGCCATGGCATTTTCAATCCTTTCGTATGCATGTGGAAGTGGAATAAATAACAAGGAACACTAGAGTACTGATACACAAGAATTATGGTGTGGGCAAAGAATATTCTCAGTATCATGGACTGCCCGAAGAACAAACAACTCCAGAGAGAAGTGTGGCTAGACTCCTCCTCATCCTGGCGGCTAAAGAGCACCCTGGCCGTACTTCTTTCATGCCATTTGGTGTTCTTCTGGGAGTCCAAAGCATCTTCCATGTTCTTCATCAACACTTGAATTCAAATGCATCAATTCTTCTGGAATCTTCCTGATTGAGTGTCCAACATCACATATATATGAGGCAAATAAAAACACCAGGCTTGTGACAGGAACACTTTAGTCTTCAAAGTGACATCATTGCTCTTCAACACTTTAAAGAAGTCTTGTGCAGCAGCATTACCTAATGCAATATGTCCATTGATTTCTTCACTGCTATTTCCCTGAGCAGTAATTGTGGATCCAAGCAAAATGAAATCCTTGGCAACTTCAATTCACGTACTCCCCCCCCACACACACACACACCCAGTCCCATACACACACACACACACACACAGAGTTCTCATGGTGTTGTCTATGGTCCAGTGGTGAGGATTGTGGTTTTCCTTACATTGAGTTGTGATCCATACTGACGGCTGCAGTCCTGGATCTTCGTCAGAAGTTGCTTAAGTCTTCATTTTCAGTAAGCAAGGTTGTGTCATCTGCACAGTACAGGTTAAGCCTTCCTCCAATCCTGATACTGTGTTCTTCTTCATATAGCTTGGCTGCTCAGATTATTTGCTCAGAATACAAACTGAAAAAGTATGCAGAAAGGACACACCCTGACACACACATTTCCTGGTTTTCAGCCATGCAGTATGTTTTTTGCTCTGTTTGTGATTGCCTTTTGGTCCACACAGATTCCATATAAGCACAATTAATTATTCTGAAATACCCATTCTTCTCAGTGTTATCCATAGTTTGTCATGATCCACTCAGTCAAATGCCTTTGGATAGTGAATAAAACATCTTTCTGGAATTCTCTTGTAGCCTAGATCCACCTGACATTAGCAATAATAATCCTGTTCCACACCATCTCCTGAATAGAGCTTGGATTTTTGACTGCTCCCTATGCACTATTGCAACTGTTGCAATAATTATCTTCAGCAATATTTTACTTGCATGTGATTAATTATACCGTTCTATGATTTCTGCAGAAAGTAGACTACCTGTATTTAAATGTAATATAAAACTGGGAAGTTCAAAAGAAGATAAATTGTCATCAAAATGAAAAAACCTTTGAGGGAGGGGGGAGCAGGGAGGGAGGGAAAAAAATGAGGACCTGACGCCAGGGGCTTAAGTGGAGAGCAAATGTTTTGAGAATGACGTACAAATGCGCTTTACACAATTGATGTAGGTATGGATTGTGATGAGTTGTATGAGTCCTAATAAAACGATTAAAAAAAAAAAAGGTAGCAACATTCTTTCAGACCAGATGTTCCACATCCTTCTATGATCCTGTGCCAACCTGGCCAATAAACACATGTGAGATTAATTGAAGGGCAGTTGAATTGAAGGGTGGAGAGATAAATGGCTCAGCGAGCCGAGCCTCACCTGTCTTTTGTTCTCTGATGGTTGGACCAGTGTGCAGCTGCCTTAGCTAGTTCTCTGCCTCAGCTGGCAAGGCTCACTTCCTGCGAGACATCCCTGAGGAGAAGCCAGGTGGACCTACCCTGATGCAGCTCTGGGTGCTGGAGAAGCTCCATGGAGACCCTGCCAGCGCTGAGATGCTTACACGCTGAGTCACTCCGCTTTCCTCCTGCAGTCTGCCTCCTGTGTCTTTTGTGAGATTGAGGACTTTGTAGTTCGATGTCGGACATATGGGCTAGTGTCAGACTGATGGGCTTGGACAACACTGGGTTGGGGTGCTTTCTTTATGTATACTTACCCTTTATATACAACTCTTTATTAATTAAAAAAAAAAAGAAAAACCTTTGCTCTTCAAATAGCGCCTTTTAAAATTGGTCATTTTCTTCTCTAGTTAGGGGAAAATAGTTACAAAATGTGATGTAAGATTTATACCTACAATATATAAAGAATGTTGGTACTCATGAAAATAACCCAGTAAGAATATTGGAAAATGATATAAATTGGCCCTTCATCCAATATGATACTCACCTTTCCGACATGATCATTGAAGACAAAAAGGGTGCATTAAGCAAATGTGGTGAAGAAAATGGATGGTGCCCGGCTTAAAGAAAAAGCGTCTGGGGCCTTAAAGGCTTGAAGTTAAACAAGTGGTCACCTAGCTGAGAAGTCAGAAACTCCACATGGAAGAAGCATTCCAGCTGTGTGATCATTAGATGTTGACAGGAATAGGTTATCAGAACAGGTATCAGAAATTAAAATACAAGCAATCAAATTGACGTGGAGTGTAAACAAAGACCAAAAACCTATCTGTATGATAATTGGACAATCCCTCACAGAAGGGCCACATGGAAGGGATGCTATATCCAGGGTGCAGTATAGCACTGATGAATCACTTAACTATCCTTCAGTTCTTTACTATTTCCTCCTGTATTATGATCTTAATTTTACCGCATTACTCTTGAGAACTGTGTGTGTTCATTTGCACAATTAACCTCATCCGGTGCTTGAAATCCAAGATAGACACACCCTTCAGAAGCAGTATGGAAGTAAGGATTCCCTGAGGGTATCCCTGAGGAAGAGAAGGGGCAGAGGGGAAGGGGAACCAATAGCAATGACGACTGCATAATGCCACTTGAGGGAACGAGTAACAGAACTGTAAGTGAATGGATACACTGGATGGTGTAAGATACAACTATACATATATAGTGTGTGTGTATATAGATATATAGATTGATTGATTGATTCCTGGTGGGGTGGTAGGGTGGGGGAGGGATGGGATAAAGGGGAACTGATATCAAAGAGTTCAAGAAGAAAATGTTTTGAAAATGATGGTGGCAGCAATTATACAATTATGCTTGATGTAACTGAATTATGGATTGTTATAATATCTGGAAAAGCTCCCAATAAAATGATTAAAAAATAAATGGACCCTTCCTCAAAGATAAACATGAAGATATGTTCAACATAATTAGTCATTATGGAAATGCAAATTAAAATAATGAAATAATATTATACTCCAGCGAAAATCGCCAAAATTAAAGAGACTGCCTATACCAACTGTCGATGAGGACGTTGTGCAGTTGGACTCAGCAGACTGCTCGTGGCCACAGGAAACCGTACAAGAACCCTGGGAGACTTTGGACCCCCAACATTGTCACCTCGGCATTTACTACACAGGCATGAAAGACTTGGACTCAACTGCTCTAATAGCTTTATTTGTAATGCCGAAATTTGGAAACAACGCAATGTGAACTGGTAAACAAAATGGGATGTATCCATTGAACCGGACACCGATTAGTAATAAAAAAGGTGTAAATGCACACAATGTAGTTGAATTTCCAAGTCGTGAGGCTGAAGGCAGATGAAGAGCACGCACTGTCAGTTGCACATTCGATGCCAGTTATGCATGATTCTAGAAAGCGCAACCTGATCTACAAGGACAAAGCAGACCAGTGACGGGATGAGAGGAGCGGAGGGAACACACAGAAACGTTGGGGGCCGGGGGCTGTGTTCGTTATCTTGCATGCACTGGTTTCATGGATGTATACAGAAGTCAAACTTTACCAAACTGAACATGCGGTAAAAAGTAAGTCATTTGTTTTGTTTTGTTTTTTGTTGTTTTTTTTTAGGTGTCAGCAAGTTAACTTTATTCACAGGCGATGGGGACTCCATGCAAGTTTTTAAAATCACTTTTTTTAACTTCAAGCTTTTTGTGTATTATAAAAAAATTGAAAAGCAAGGAGCAAAAAGCAAAGAACACAAAAGGCATCCAGAATCATTTTGATGATTTCGTACAGTTTGACATCTTTCTATACCCTATGCACGTATATAAATGACTGAGCATACAATTTTTGGGGGTTGAGGTCATACAGTATGGATTCATGCATTTCCTCCCCCCATTTGTTTTGTTTTTTAAAATTCTCTAATGATCACACAGATCTAATGCTGTTCTCCAGAGATTAAATGACACCTGATCTCATCACCAGGCTTGAATCGAATGATGTGTGCACAGATATGACATTTTACTTCCCAATATGGCAGATATCTGAAAATGAAACCATGATTAATGTTAGAAGAGCAGAATTCCATCAGCTCACAAGAGTCGACTATAGGCATCTATTCAAATGTCCATTCTTAAAGATGTCATTTTTTTTTTTCTCTCTTTTTTTTTTTGGGTCTTCCGTACGCCACATTTCCCATGCCCCACCGTGGGCCGGGGATTCGGCGCTGGGCTCAAAGATGTCATTTTAATAACCTAAAGTTGATTATAATGGAAGTATTTACACCATGGAAACTGGCATACGCTACTAGAAGTCAGGATATTTTCTTGGACAACTGGCTGTTAAACACTGCTAGCTATGATGCACATAAACAACAGTTAGTTGGGGCCCTTAATTTTTAGGTCTGCCCTTATCTTTTTGCTGAGGGACTTCTTAGTTTTGAACAGCAGCACAGAAGAATCCCGACACTAACAAGTTCAAGAACTGCTAATGGAGAGGAGTGCTAGAAAGGTTAAGACCTTGCCTCTCTCTGTGGGGCTGAGAGATGTCACAGGGGAGGACAGCAGCAAACGATGGACTCCTCTAACACTCACCCCTCTCCAGCAAGTCTTCTGCAGGCATTCAGTCACAGCTAGCTGCCTTCCCCCGTGCTACCACCGCCTTTCTCCCCCAAGCTCCTCCCCCAGCACCAGGAGAGAATGGAGTGGAATCATTAGTCCTTTTCAAATTTTCAGAGCCCCAATGGATACTGGGGGAGTGGGCTGCCCCTTCCTCTGGCCTGCACCAAGGACCCATCCTTTTGGCTCCATGGGTAAAAAAGGTACTGCTGGAAAGAGTGGCATCAGACCAAGTTTTTCGGGTGATGGGTTCTGACTCCAGCAAGGCCTGGGACAGATTCCTGATACACAGAGAGCTGTTTATGAGGAATCAGCCACCAGGACGCCAAGGTCTGCTACTTTCACCTACTGCTTTGAGGCAACTGAGGTATGGACGTTTAGAGGCAGCCTCGCTCCTCTCACTCTTCAATGCCAGCCTGACTCTTTGAATGTGACTATAAATGTAACTATTTAATATATGCTGATACTCTATCAAAGGAACCCTGGTGACACAGTGGCTAAGTAACTGGCTGCTAATCAAAATGTTAGTGTTTTGCTGCATCAGTTGAGTTGTGTGGGAGAAGGGCATGGTAGTTGAATTCTGTAATGATTACAGCCTCAGAAGCCCACATGGCCGTCCTGCCCTGTCGTATTGACTTGTTATGAGTTGGAATTACTTGACGGCATTGGGTTTGGGGGTTGATGCCATCACATCATCAGAAAGCTCCCAGGGAAGAAAGGAGGAGATGTTTAAAGAGGGGGAGAGTGACAGAGTTAGCAGAGAGCTTCAGCACGCTGCAGCATCACATTCTGTTCTACGGCATGTTGGAAACCAAACACTACAGCTTTTTCGCCTCTACCGCATAAAGGTCCAGTCGCTTCTGGCTTAAAATGGGGATCTGCTGGCGTACTTCAGCCAGCTTCTTCAGATCTGCAAAAGCAGGAAAATGCCAAGTTAGTTTGATAGAAAGCCTCATATCTCAGCAATATAGCCTTGCCTGGAGGCACAGATGGCTCGAGAGTCACTGCAACAGATACTGAGAACACTTCAACTGAGCAATAGTCCCCAGGGCTTGGCTGGAGGATTGGGCTCTAGAACATTCTGGAAGATGAATGACACGGGGCTTGAGGAGCCCCACCAAATGGCAGGCCCTTTGCAATCCTGGTTGCTAGCCTCCACTCAACAGGGACCCCAAAGCCCTAAAGTGTGCAGGTGCCTCTTACCGATGTCTGAGTACACGACCGCTTCTTCACTGCCAGCTTTGGCTACGACCTCCCCCCTGGAAGAAGATGCAGGGCAGAATGAGTGGACTCGCTCATGGCTATTGAGAGCAACGATTTCTCTCTGACTTCCCTCCACATCCCACAGGGCAAAGGGGAGAGCATCTGAGATTTGAAACTATGAAAAGAAAAGCCAAACTCACTGCCATCGAGTTGACTCTGACTCGTCGGGACCTGGCCAGTCAGGGTGGAACTGCCCTTGTGGGTTTCTGAGACTGTAAGTCTTCATGAGAGTAGAAAGGCTCGTCTTTCTCCCTCAGAGCGGCTGGTAGTTTTGAACCACTGACCTTCTGGTTAGCAGCCTAACACGGAACTGCTACACTCTGAGGGCTCCTTTAAAACGATATGGTAGAGGTATAAATACCTGTGCTAGCACTTTATTAGTTGGATGAAGCTGTTGTAAGTTGTCTGGAGCGCCCCCTTCCTACTCTACGCAGTGGAAAGAAGAGCGCTGGGAGAATTTAGTGAGAACATTATGGAGTTCATGTTGTAAACTGTACTGCATGACAATAGGCCTCTGGGGACAGAGCCAGTCCCCACGTGAGTGTGTCTCAGGGAAGTCCCTTTACCAGGCTGTCTGGACTTCCTTCCCACCTCCATGTTGCAATCCACCCTGGGAACGGTGAAACAGGACAGGGTGGAGCTCAGATCGGCTTGAATCTCGGGCTTTGTGTCTCGAACCTCTGGATTTGTAGCCGGTTTCTGTTTAAGATCTGAGGGGAAGATGTCAACCTGGGGGGCGGGGGTGGGGGTGGGGGCAGTTCTCTGTGGAAGTGGTGAGGGAGCAGACCCTGGCAGGAGCCCCTCATTAGGACATACTCCCTCATAAATCCAAAATAAGGCTGAGGTGCAAAACTATTGCCAGTGTTTCATCTTCTGGCTTGGAGCATACCTGGTGAAATGAAATTTCTCCAAAGCACAAAACACACAAAGTAGCTTGACTTAATCAAACATCTGGCACAGTCGCTGGTTCAGTTTGGCAGAGTCACAAGCAGGTGTTTGCCACTTAACACGATCCTTTTCTATTGGTTTCTATTCTTTCCTGGCCTTCAAAGACCAATTCACTCATCAGCAACCCCAGGTACCCACTCTAGCTAACATCACCATAAACCAGAGTACTTCTAAATAGGAATAAATAGAGGTAAACCTTATACACTGCTGTATTTCAGAAGCAGCCATTTGTGTTGGGAACAGAATTCTCCAGGGAAATGAGCAGGAGGCCCAGGAGACTGAGGCCAGGAGGGCTATCAGTAATAGCTGGATGGAAAGGCTCGGATCAAATGGGGGGCAGTTCCTCAAACCACCTTAATCCTTCCGCTCTTCTCATAGCCGCTAACCCTAATGTGGAAGGCGATCAGTGAGACACTGCACCTGGCCCGTCTTCCAGGGCTTCCTCTGAGACACACACTCGGGTGTCCGCAAGGAACAGGCAGAAGGTACAAAGCATCTGCTGCCTGTCCTGTCGATCCCAGCTCAGAGCAGCCACACGCAGAGGAGCACGGCGCACGGTTGTCAGTGCGGATTTCTCAGAAGCAGATCACCAGATCTTTCTTCCAAGGAACCTCACACCTCCAGTGGTCTGCACCACCCAGGGCCTCCTGTATGTCAGCTGTATCGATGACAACCATGACGAAAACCCACTGCCATCGAGCCAGTTCTGACTCAAGGTAGACCTGTCCCTGTGGGTTTCCCGAGACGGTAACCCTCTGCAGGAGTAGAAAGCCTCGCTCGTCTTTCTCCTGTCGTGTGGCTGGTGGTTTTGAACTTCTGACCTTGCAGTTAGTAGCCCAACTTGTAACCACTGTGCCACAAGGGCCCCTTTGTAACAATATGGACCTGACTATTATGTATGTGACCTGCGTGTGAATCTGAGCAGACTTACGTCTGGTTTCACAGAGAACTAGAATACTTTACCCCTTTCACGGGGACAGGATCATAGTTCCCCAAACAGAATCCCTTCTTCTAATCATTGTGCTGCGAGCAAAGTCCTCCCCCTGGAACTAATTCCTGCCCTTGGACCAACCACCTTTCATTGTTAACCAAAAGTCAAGGGTTGGGAAGCCTCTCTGACCCAAACCACCCACCCATCACTGCTGTCTCGAGTCCCTGATCTGATCCAGGTCTGACAGCCAGTGAAGCCACCTCGACATCCCGAAGAAAGTGAAGGCCAGGCACTTCCCCAGAACAGGATGACTTTGCTCCCTCGGGAATTCCAAGGGGACGAGTAAAGAACCACTCTCACAATAGCCTTGCTGTCATGCAGAAGGCATTGCAAAGTGGGTGACTGCAGATGCAGGTCGGCTAAAATTTAACAATCTCGTCATTTGATCTCCCTTTGGGCTCATTTTAAATTTGTTTTAATTTCTAATTTCCGCTTTCTTTTCGATTGAAGTTTTCTGATTTACTTTGTTATTTTTTAAAAATGTTTTTCTGTATATGAAATTCAGCATAGGTAAATGTATAGAGACAGTAACTGGATTAATGGTTTCTTGGGGGCATGGCAGGGGAGGTGGGAGCCGGGAGGATGGGAGCTAATAGGCATGAGTATAAGAATGAGTAAAACGTTTTCAAATTGATTGTGGTGATGACTATACAAGCCTTCTTAATGCAATTGAACTACTGAATTGTACAATTTTTGAATTATATGCCAATAAAACTGTTGGGGAAAAAAGAAGAACCGCTCTCACAAAGCCCAAAGAGAGAACTGGCAGGACATGGAAATCGGGATGGGAGCTGGCGGTAGGATTCAGCCCACCTGCTCATTGGCCTGGCGAGCCAACCCTCCCTTAGCGACTCACCATGGATTCACTACAGTGCTGTGTCCCCAAGCCACATAGGAGGCTTTGTCATCCCGGGCAGGAGATGCTGTGGCCACGTACACCTGATTATCAACAGCCCTGTTGTCAAAAGACAGAAAAGAAAAAAAAAAGCAAATACATGTTATTTATTTCAATTCCAAATATAATGGGTCCTCATTTTTAAAAAAAAATAGGGCAAGACAGGTTGACTTAAGTATGCAGGGAAAGGTCAAAGCCATGGAACGCTCTCTTCACATAGTATCTTATGCACAAGTGGGGCTCGCACCTGGGAATCATGTGTCCAGAAGGGAACACTTGGCGATGCCTGAGACTTTCTGACTGTCACAACTAGGAGCTGCTTCTGGGGACTTACTGGGTAGAGGCAGGAGTGCTGCTGGCAGCCCACACAACAATGACCCATCAGCCCAAAATGGCAATAGTGCCATTGAAGAGAAGCAGCCTGGGTGCAAGTCAACCTGTCACAGCGAAAAGAGTAGAGTTTCTCTGGTGACAGCACGTCAGGTGGGTAGGGAGACCAGGTGTGCCATGTGGAGACCATACACCTTGCAGGAATGGCCACATGATACTGCCAAGCCAACGATGACCACCCGATCAACGCAAATTAGGCAAGAACAACAGGTAGGAGCCCAGGTATACCAATCCACCTCACCTGAAAGCCGCTCCAAAAAGCCCACAAACTCACTGCCATCATCTCGATGCCAGCTCAAAGCGAGCCTCTCAACAGGGTGGAACTGCACCAGATGCTCCACGAATGTCACTTTATGGGAGCACAAAGTCCCCTCATTCCGTCAGGGGGCAGCTGGTGGTGACCTTGCAGCTCACAGCCCGACCTGTGGCCACTGTGCCACCAGGCCCAGGCCTTGATTAAGTCACCCCCAAATCTCCCGTTTGTTTTTTTAAAATCATTTTATTAGGGGCTCATACAACTCTTATCACATTCCATACATACATACATCCACTGTGTCCAGCAATTCGTACATATGTTGCCATCATCATTTTCAAAACACCTGCATTCTACTTGAGCCCCTGCTATCAGCTCATTTTTCCCCCTCCCTCCCCACTCCCCCCTTCCCTCTGAACCCTTGATAATTTGAAAATTATTTTGTCGTATCTTACACTGTCCTACATCTCCCTTAGCCACTTCTCCGCTGTGTGGAGGAGGTTATATGTAGACCTTGTAATCTGTTCCCTCTTTCTCCCTCACTGTCCCTCCACCCTCCCGATATCGCCACTCTCACCACTGGTCCTGAGGGGTTCATCTGTCCTGGATTCCCTGTATTTCCAGTTCCTATCTGTGGCAGTATACATTCTCTGGTCCAGCCAGATATGTAAGGTAGAATTGGGATCAAGATAGTGTGTGTGTGGGGGGGAGCATTCAAGAACTAGAGGAAAATTGTATACTTCATCGTTGCTACACTGTACCCTGACTGGTTCATCTCCTTCCCGCAGCCCTTCTGCAAGGGGATGTCCAATGTCCCACGGATGGGCCCTGGGTCTCCATTCTGCACTCTCCCTCATTCATAATGCTATGATTCTTTTTTTTGTCTTTGATGCCTGATACCTGATCTCTTAGACACCTTGTGATATCACAGGCTGGTGTGCTTCTTCCATGTGGGCTTTGTTGTTTCTCAGTTAGATGGCCCCTTGTTTATCTTCCAGCCTCTAGGAAACCAGATTCTATATATTTTGACAGCTGGGCACTGCCAGCTTTCTTCACCGCATTTGCCTACGCACCTGCTTTGTCTTCAGTGTTGGTGTCAGGGTGGGCTGGTGTGCTTCTTCCATGTGGGCTTTGTTGTTTCTTAGCTAGATGGCCGCCTGTTTATCTTCAAGCCTCCTGTGTTTTTTGCTTTTGACTAAATACTTCTTATTCATGGAATCACATTCCCCTCGCTGATTCTGCAGCTAGCCAAACACCTCTCTTTTTGCCTCCAGCAATAATTACCATCAGATCAAGAAGTGGGACGGAAAAGGAAGGAATTGACTTGGAAGGGACAAAAGAGAGCATCCTGGGAGAATGCAAATATCCTACAGGTTGATCGTGGTGGTAGGTGAAAACACAGCTTAAAACTGTACTAAAAATTAGGAAGCTTTCATGTAAGAACAATTGGTCCTCTGTATCTGTGGATTCCACATCCACAGATTCAACCAACTATACAATAATGGGGGAAAAAAACTTCAGCAAGTTCCACAAAACAAATTTTGAATTTGTTGCATGCCCAGCCCTACACTATGTCTGAGTGAATGCAGCGCTGTGCAGGGGAGTCGTGCTGTAGACCAGCTGCCTGCCGTCTCACAGCTCCCCAGTCTCTCCTGAACACCTGCTGTTTGAGTGCTGTTCACCTCACACCCCGACTTGTCCTGTGTGCACCGTTTCTGTAAAACAGGGCTCCTGAAAAGCTATTAGGTGGTCAAAGCAATCCCTCAAAGGCTAAGAGGGAGCCAAGAGTGCTCTTTACATTGTACTACGTAGTATACAGGCTCTGGTGCTGAGTGACTGCGCACGGGGGTGTGCAAGGATGACATAAGCACAAGGCGCTTTATGGAAAGACCTTGAGCGGCCACAGACTCTGCTGTCTGCAGGGGTCCTGGAGCCCTGAACAAGTAAAACTCACTGGCACCGAGTCGATGCTGACTCACAGAGAGAGACCCCACAGCACAGGCTAGAACTGCCCTTAGGAGCTTCGGAGACTGGAACTCTTGCCTGGAGTAGGAAGCCCTGTCTTTCTCCTGCAGAGGGCTGGCGGCTCTGAACGCACTGCCCTTGCCGTTTTAGCAGCCCAGTACATAACCTTGACACTACCAGGCCTCGCCCTGAGCAAGCAAGTGACACAGATTTAAATTTCTGCAAAAGAGGCTGGGGGTTTTCTCAGAGACACCAGCCCACACCTAGCATCTGAAGCCATCAACGAATATGAACTCACAGAACGCAAAACCACGCAGGGCACTGCAGCAGCCCCTCCACGTGGAGAGCCTGGCTTCCGAGGGGCCCCTGCCCCAGAGCAGCAGCCTCTCAGCAGGCCCCTCCCTTTTCAGGCTCACCCTGCCTCAGGGGCAGCTTTCCGTGCTGGGAATACTGGGACGTCCACCAAACGAGGGGAGATTTTTCTTTAGTCAAGGAGGAGACACTGAGATCCTTGGAGATGATTCATTGCTTACCGGCCTCGCTGAAGCAACTCCCAGTGGGCTGGTCCAGTGGTCAAATTAAAAGCACCAGGGTATACCAGCAGCTGGCAGCCTTGGAAAAGAAGGTCAAAGGACAGTGGATGAAAATGGACCTCAACCTCACTGTCCCTTCCTTTGGTTTCTCACTCAGTTGGGATCAAACTCAAACTTTCCCAAGCGTAGTGTCACGTCAGTGTCCACAGGATTAAGATGTGGAGTGAATTCCTATAAAGACACACACATAAGACACACATAGACACCCACAAAAAGTGGTATGGAGGGCAGAAGTCCCAACATCGGGTGACTTTGCTTAATAAAGGAGAGTAGAATGGTCCGATTGCTCTAATCTACACACAGCCAGCACCACCCGGGCAACGAGGGTGCTCTGTATTGTTTTGCAACTGAACTTAGGGGCAGGGTTCGTGTCTGATGCTTTCTGCTGAGACTCAGCAGAGACTAGTAGCCCCAGATCCCATGCACCTTTGCTGACCTCTGCTGACCAGGCAGCCACCCCGTACGGACCCATTTCTCTTTTCTAAGGGAAAGTAGAACTGGAGGTAGCCTTGGCAGTGTAGCAGAGATGCTGATATTTGCTGAGCACCATGAAGACACTTTATAAGTTCTTCCTTTTTTTTTTTTTTTGCTAATTGTTTTTTAAAAATCATTTTATTAGGGGCTCGTACAACTCTTATCACAGCGCATACATCCATCCACTGTGTCAAGCACATTTGTAAATTTGTTGCCATCATCATTCTCAAAACATGTGCTTTCTACTTGAGCCCTTGGTATCAGCAACTCATTTTTCCCCTCCCTCCCCCTCCCACTCCCTCATGAACCCTTGATAATTTATAAATTATTATTATTTTGCCATGTCTTACCCTGTTCAACATCTCCCTTCACCCACTTTTCTGTTGTCCATCACCCAGGGAGGAGGTTATATGTAGATCCTGGTAATTGGTTCCCCCTTTCTACCTCAGCCTCCCTCCACCCTCCCAGTATCACCTCTCAGCATTGGTCCTGAAGGGATCATCTGTCCTGGATTCCCTGTTTCCAGTTCCTATCTGTACCAGTGTACATCCTCTGGTCTAGCCAGACTTGTAAGGTAGAATTGGAATCATGATAGTGGGGGAAGTTCCTCCTCTTTAGTCTTCATTACATTCCAATGAAGAAACGGAGGATAACTGCTGTAGAGGTTAAAATAATGTATCCAATGTTATTGTGTGAATCATGAGGTAGAGTTGGAATCAGAACCCAGAACTTTTGACTTGGCCTGAGGCTCCCACAGGGCATGAGGTCACCTCTGCTTGCCTGGACCACATTTCCACTGATACCACATTCCCCATGGTCAGGGGTTAGATGCAGCGAAATCCATAAGCACACAGACCAGTTCTTCATTCTCTTTTCTTTTCTTTTTTTTCCAGTTTTTCATTTTCATTGGGTTCCAACTCTATCTTTTCAAACAGTAGCACAAGGCCTCCAAGGGTGGACCAGACATGGCTCGTGCCTTAGCCCCCAGTGTGTTACACCCCGGCCCAGAAAACCCTATCATGCACACCCAGCAGAAATGAGAAGCAGAGTTGGGGTGTGTGAAGGGGCTGGAGGTGAGATTAAAAACCTTCCAAGTGCCATGCCTTTTTGACTAAGGGCTCTCGCCACCCATCAGAGACCAAGCAGGAACCAACTCTCCGTGCAGCTATGTCGGAAACACAACCGTGCGCCTGCTCACCTCTCTGTGCGTAGATTTGTGCGAGCTCTGCGAACCGCATGTCGTAGCAGATGCCCAGGCCCACTTTGCAGAACGCTGTTTTACAAGCAGAAAACACGAGTGAAAAGTTAAGTTCTGGCAGTGCAGTTAGCAGAGAACGCCTCCCTGACTTAATACTCACAAAACAGCAAAAGCAACAGGCGGGAATTAACACAGGACCCATCGTTGGGGACAACACATAAGCTCACCCACTCAGACTTCATCTCAGAAAGATAACGCGTACATCAGAGCACAGATGAGAAACTCGTGCTCATTGAATGCTTATCTAAATGGGTAAGCTGACTCACTAAGGGGAGGCTGTGACCAAATGAGAACGGAAGATCATGTCCAAACCGTGCCCCATTCAACCTGGTCTGTCAGGTGACATACAGACATTGACCGGAGGTTGGTGGAGGTGGGAGGGTGGGAGTGGGGGCGGGACATGCACCTTAAGACAAAAAGAAAGGGGGTACCTAGTCCTCTTTCTACTGAGGCTGCTAAAGGAAGCAAACTTATCTGGTACGTACGCGTATCAAACGTGGAGAAACTATCACCAGGACTCAATGTTTTAGATTCTTGAAAGGTAATTTTTCCAGGAACATCAATGTCAAACAGGTGGATCTGCATCACAAATAATTGACTTGGTTACCTGTATTCCAGTAGTGACATGGCACTTTATCACAGACTTCTTCCCAAGGGCCGACATGAAGACATAAGACCAACCACACAAATGGCACCCCCACCTCCCACAGCCCACTGGCTGCCGCCCAATGAAATCCGCTCCAGGAATAGAAAAGGGGCGCTGCACGTTTTCCAGGTGGTATGCAATCAATGTCCGGGGATTTTTTGTGGGAAAGAATTGATGTGTTGCTTTTTCACTCAATACAAATGCAAGACGAAGAAGTCTCAGAATCTAAGGAGTGTTTTGGATTAATTTCTCAAACTGACAATTGTGCAGGAAAGGTGGTAAGTGGGTGACAATTAAAAAATATAGGTCCCCAAAATACAATTCAAATCCAGTAATATTTAGAAAGAATAATACAGAACTTCCAAATTTGATTGACTCAAGAAAAGCAGGTGGGATTTGGAAACCAACAGGTAATCCACATGAATAAAGCAAAAGAGAAATGCCGCATGCTCGTCCTAAGAACATAATGAGGGCATGCGGTAATTTTCTACATTCATTCAAGACTTGAAAACACATGACCAGAAAATTCTTCTTGGAAAGAAACTCCGTAACGTGATAAAGGTGCCTAAGAAAAAACTCTACAACAAACACCATAAATAATGTTAAAATATTGAAAATCTTCCCTCTGAGATTGGGAAAAACATAAGGACACTTGCCATTTATACTCCCAAAGACAGCAACAAGACAAAAGAAAGGAAGAAAAAGTATCAAGATTAGAAAGCAAACAGTTAAAACAGTTACTATTCTCAAGTGCTATGATTTAGAGCTAGACATTTCAAAAATTTAGACTAAACATTAGAATTAATGATTGAGTTTAGTAAATTCACTATATTCAAGGTCAGTATTCAGAAAATTAATTGTAAATCCTTCTTTTACATACAATCAAAAACCACAAAAAGAAAGGGCATCAAAACACACAACTGAGAAATCAATCTAATAAAAAACATACAAGACTACATATATATTTTTTAAACAGAGAAGTTAAAGTGAGCCAAATTAAGTGGCAGGGGCAGATAATAACATGAATTCCCTGGGAAAATCACACCGGAAAAACGTGCTTCGAAGAACTCAAAATTCAGGGCCATCGAACTGATTCTGACGCAGAGTGGCCCTACTAGACAGGGCAGAATTGTTGCGGTGGGTTTCCAAGAAGGTAACTCTTTACAGGAGTAGAAACCCTGGTCATTCTTCCTCGGATCATCTGGTGGTTTTGAATTGCTGACCTTGCAGTTAAGCAGCCCAGCACAA